TTAGGATTTGGACTTCCTTTACGTTTTGGGGGGATTCCATCTCCAGGATCACGTTGACTTTCTCTAGGTTGGGCTCGATGCCTCTGTGGGTAAGGTAGAGACTGAAAAAAATTTAAACAGTCAAAATATAATCAAAATAGAATGAAAACGATTAATAATCAACAAGTAAACAACAATGTTAGTAATTCTAATAACAATAGTTTGTTTATTATGAAACACATTTTCATAATTCTAGAAGCCATCAACGTTAACCGTGACAAGAATATTACTATCGATGTATGTGACACCTGGACTTATAACAAATGACATCAGTTTAGAATAATGACATGAATTATAAACAATGTCACAACACATAACATTCAGAAGAGTAAAGTGTATGTAATCAGAAACATGAAAAGAAGGCAGAAAAAAGGTAGAGATAGAAAACAAATCAAAATATAATCAAAATAGAATGAATACGATTAATAATCAACAAGTAAACAACAATGTCATCAATTCTAATACACAATGATCGTACAATTTAAGAACATGAAATATAATACAATTATCTGACATTAAACACGATTACAACTTGAACTGCTCAAACAATAATCCAACTGTAAAACAATGATCGTCGCAAATCACAGGTGAGTGATAGACATTAGCAGTTGATCGATGGTAGGTGAATATCGCAGCAGGTGAAGGTAAAAGATGATTCAGATATTAGCTGAAGGTAAAGATGAAGACGGCGAAGCTGAATGCGAACGTAGCTCAAGTCGGCAATAATGAATGTCGAGGAAGACGAGAAAGAAAATAACGAAAAACAGAAGCTTGTGTATTAGATTTAGAAACAGGGTCAATTTTGGAAACATCTTAAAATTAGGTCCTATTTAGGAGTTAAACATCTTAAAATAAGGTCCTATTTGGCACCATTTCTTTATAATTTTCTCATATATCCTTTCTGTTGTTTCAAATACATTTTCAGTTTCCTTTTTAATCTATAAATTTATAGTTCTTACTATTTCTACCACTCTACACAAATATCAATTACACAATTTTTGCTTTGTTCTTCATCGTTCTGGTCAAATTTGACACAATTATATGTGATGAAGGACATAAAAAGAGTTACTAAAATGAGAGCAAAAATTAAAGATTGATATAATAATACTAGCAATTGTGGGCACGTCTTACAATAAAATGTTAAGTAAACATAAATAAAGTGTACCAAGCATTAATGAGCATGACAAATTATATTGTGAGATCATTAATTTGTATACACGGTGTAACGATCCAACTATTACGCAACTCAGTCTCTCCATTCACTGGCTTCTTTCTCTTTATTTTTCTTTTCTTCAATTCTATTCTCTTTCTCCATCGAAGTACTACAAATGTAATTACAATTTTTTCTTTCTTTAATTTATCTTCAACTTAAATTACAACTCAATCTATTTTTATTCTTTTACCAATTCATAACAAAAAATTTATTGATCTCAATGACATAAGTATTTTGCATTTCAAACTCATACACATTTTTTATGTAATATTTTTTATGTTCACACACTTTTTTGTAATATACTTTTTCATATGTATGTACTTTTTTCTATAATATATTTTTATCTCTTTGATATGTTTTTAGTGGGGTTTTAAAGCATTGAGTATGTTTATTTCGATTGACATTTGATAAAACATGAGATTGCATTTTCATATGTGCCATTTGCATTTGCACATGTGTGAGTTACATTTATAGACGATTCTTGGAGTTACATGTTACATTTTTTTTGCGCGACTAACATCTTCATGTGCGCGAGTTACATCTTCTTATGCACGATTTACATCTTCATGTGTGTGAATTACATTTTCATATTTACGAGTTACATTAACTACATACTCCTTAGAACCATTATTAGGAGTTCAGATAATTGGGGAAGTCACGACACTCAACATGAGCCGACCCTAGGGAATCCCTAGGCGGGCGAGCTCGTTGACGACCTACTCTTATGGCTTCTTCTCTCAGATTGACAAAGCTTTGACGATTGTGATGTTCTCTGGACATTATTAATGAATCAAAGGTTTTGCTATGTTGTCTCTCTTTTTTATTTATATCTTTTAGTGTTCTGGTTTTTGTTCGGTATCTTCTTTGGCTAAGAGTTATGCCCGCTTCATGTGAACGTGTGTTTTGTTCTTCTCCTAGCAATGTCTAGAGACTATGTCTTCATCGTCAGTGCAACTGACCGAGTGGATCATAATTCATGGTTGACGAGACAGATTCAACCTAGTTCTTCTGAAACTTCAATTACCCGCCCTCCTTCTGAACAACTGCCTCACTCGAAGAAGAAGCTAGCACTCAATTGGATCTCCTTTTTTGTGGCTGGTCAAACTAATGATCCGAACCATTTCTTCTTAATTGAGTTTCCTTTGTTGGTTGCGGGTGAAACTAATTCCCCCTTTCCGGTGGCTGGTGAAGGCAGGTCTTTTAGTTGTAATTTAATTTTCTCTATCGAGTAACAAGAAGAACAAGATTGTTAGACTAGAATACATTATTGGGGGTTAAGGATCTAAAAGGATTCATTGGATCTTTTCCGTTCTATGGCTCATCCCATTGTAGCCTTAGACTATTCATTCTCTTATATCTTTGCCATCTTTTAATAATAATTTAGTTATTTGCTTTTCAAAAAAATTATGTGTTACATTTGGACTAGCCTTAGCAAATTACATTTTACACGCGAGTTACATTTTTCATCAACGCGAGTTACATTTTTCGTAACACGTTTTAAATCGCAAAATAAACCACTCCTATTGAAACAAAAAAATCATTGTACAATTACATATATTATTTTTATAGTCTTGATATTAAAAACAAAACATTTTCATTATTTACGTAAGGTAATTAAAAAATTAGACACCTTTTTTAATTGTTTACATTGAAATTAATGTTTTACTTCTTATACTCAATAGTACATAATTGGGATAAGGGTCAAATTGGACACGACTATAGTTATATGAGCATCTCATATTGGACGCTAAGGTTTCAAATGGACCAAATTGGACACTATGATTACTTTTGTATCTCCTATTGGACACTAAAGTTTCAAATGAATCAAATTTAACATTTTTCTGATCATTTTCGAACACCCACTAAAGATTTTCACCTTTGGTAACTATAAGTATTCCTTTTTCCCTTTATTTTATCTACCTAAAAAAGAAAAATAACTTAATTCCTGTATTTAGATTTAGAATATATAATTAGATGTTCTAGTTAAAAAGAAATCTATTATAATGTCATTGAATTCTTTAATACTGTTAAATCAATTTAACAAATCGATATTTCTTGAAATTCCATAAAAATCATATGAATGAAAGTCCTAAATATATTTTTAAATTGTTAAGTATAAGAAGTTATTAATTAATATCAAATAATACATTCTCAAACTTCAAATTAAATATTCCAAAATTATAAAGGTAATTAAATTAGTTTATTTTCAGAAAAGGAAATACTGTATAAGACTAACGATTTTTATTAAATAAAGAACAAAATCATAAGCGAGTGTCCAAAAACTATGAATTATGAAACCTTAGTGTCTAATATGATATACATATGTAATCATAGTGTCCAATTTGATTCATTTGAAACCTTAGTATTCAATATCATATTCTGATGAAACCATAATATCCAATTTGAGCCTTATCTCTAAATATTTACGTAGTATCTTTCAACTTGTTTTTGGTTACTTGACAAAAGTTGCATTTTTTTAAGTCTTGTTTGAACTTTGAAGTGTGGGAGTACTATTCTCGCCATCCGCTACTCCCGCTTAGGGCGGTTAACGAGCCGAGCCGAGCCCGAACACCTAAAGCTCGAGTTCGGCTCGATAAGGAATTAATGGTGTTCGAGTTCGAGCTCGAAGCTCGACGAGCTTTACAAATGGGGCTCGTGTTCGGCTCGATAGGCGTTCGATGTTCGAACCGAGCGCTCGATAGGTTCGTTAGTAAACAATGTTTAAACTCATAAAATCATACTAAGTATATTTAAATTTGGTGAAATTCATACCAATAATATGTACTTTTAAGGTTTCTACGCTAATACTCCCTACCCAAGAAATTCATAGGAATAATCCAAACTTGTAAATGGGTTCACATAAACACATTAAATCAAACGGAGGTAACGGTCGTTTGATATTCCTTCATCATAGTGCACACCCCCTTACGGCCTTACCTTTCTTCTTTCTGTGTATACTCATCCCAGCCACTCACTATAACTTTTTTCCCTCTTTCAACAAATTTTATCCATCTTCCATGACCGCTTGATTTTGTGCTTTACTCCACCTATTTTTTTTTACTTTTCTATCTTCAATTTGTTGAGTTTTTTTACTCCACCTATTTTTTTTTACTTTTCCACGAACATCAAAAATTTGATTGAGGATATTGGGGCTTCAATTTTAGTTTTGGGAACTGGTATTTAGATGTTCTTCACCTTTAAAATTAGGGATTTTTTCCAATCATACAATTTAATATCCACAAAAGAGAAGATGAGTACGACCACATGAGAAAGGTTAAAGAGAAGAAGAGGAATAGTGGAATACGAGCCTACTGCCATATGTAAAGACAACAGTTCGGCTAATCAAATCCATATGTTAAATCATTAAAATAGGGAGTGAATTGCTGAAATAATTGGAAAATGATATCAAATGAATTAAGTATTTGGTTGATATGGAAAAATTGAAAAAAAAGGAGTATGACTGGTGAGGAAGATGGGTAATACGGCATACATGTAGAAGCAGAGAAATAGTAGAATGGGTTCATGGGATGAGAGAATATCAAACGGAATTATTACTTCCGTTTCATTTATCTATTTATGTGAATGGGTTCACGAGTATGTATTATTTATAAAATTTCTTGAGTATGGATTATTATTGTAGAACAGCTCAAAGTATAGATTATTAGTATGAATTTCACCTTTAAATTTTGATTATATATAAATTATATTCGAGCTCGGGACGATTAAGAAAGCTCATTAGGATCTGCTCCTTAGGTTCGAATTCCATAAAAGCTAGGTTGTTTAACAACTTACTCCCGCGGCACAACAAATGCTCAACTACCCATCACCATTCTCACTTTACTCAGCCGTCGAACTACTCTGAAGGCACAGAAAATTACGGAGCAAGACGCGACTCATCTCAATTATCAGCCGTTGAATCCAAAACATCAGATTTGAGGCGGCTGCCATACAAACCCATCGTTCTGCTGTTTCTTCCAATACCATCCACGCCGGAGCAAATGTCCGCTCAAGTACGCAGTAGCTACCTCTTCCTCTATAATTCCATTCAGGCCATTGGATGGTAATAGTCCTGCTTTCTGCCCCTCTCTTTCTGGACCTTCACAGTTCATCAACATTTTGAGCTAAATCTATACATATTTATATATGCAGGGCAGTTTCACTTTGGAGAATCTCCAACAGATTAGCTTCCACAAAGTCTTTCAATGGGGCCTACGCTTCTGCTGGAGAGCTTATATGTAAATCCCTATTTTTCATTTCCCCCATGTGGTACCTAGATAGTATATGTCATTCTATTGGATTATATTCATGATTCATGTTGTTCTTCGTAGGTTTTCTGCAAAGACTGGCATTCCTGGAAGTCGTACATGGCGCTTTAGGTATATTCTGGTCATGCTTTCTCAGTTTCTAGCTTTCAGTTCTCAGGACCGGAATTGGGAAGGATTTCTTAAAACTATCAATACAAGATTTGAAAAAATCACTCATTGAGATTTGTACATCATTAAAAAATTATTAAAATTTACTCGTATTTGTTATCCGTTTTAATTTTTCGTTCGAGATTAACATAGAGTAATTACAAACTTAAAAGAGTCAAACTTTAGTCTTAATGACGTCATAGTTTCAATAGTTGGGGGTGGTGAGTTGATGAGTTTCATCGTTTAGATCCTTGAAATTATTAGTAAACCTATCTTCAGGTTAACTTGAATCAAGTCACAAAATAAAAAGATAGTTGCCACTATATAAGGTCTTGAATTGTTCCTGGTATCTTTGTTGACTCTTTAAAATAGAAATCTGAAGTATAATACGGAGTACAAGGCAAAATGGTGTTCGCTGAATTAACACAAATGTGACCCAGGTTATATTTAATAATTTGTGTTTGAGGTTGAAGGGATTGTTCCTAGTGGGGTTCTACTACCATTGATGCAATGGGGTGGAAGAATTCAATTCCTACTAGCTCTCGTTCACTCCATCAATGAGGTTTTCAGTTAGCTTTTATATAATCACTTCTCAATACCTTTATCAATCCATGTATCCATGATGGTATAATCTTTTTGCATATAGTTTATATATGCTGTATGATTTATTTGTTGATATATTTCTCCACTTATTAGTTCCACGCCTGTTTCTTGCTTTAGGTCCAAGAACTGCCAGCAGTTTTCATAACTTTTTTAGCTTGGAGCTTATCTGAAGTAAGTCCCTTACTCTCTTACACAATCATATTGATCTCTAATTTATTGTTCTACTATGCCTATTTTGCGGTTGTCTGATGCAGGTTATAAGATATTCACATTATGCCTTGAATTGCATTAGCACGCCACCGTATTGGGTCACTTTCATCAGGTTTGATCATCTAGAGCCCATTCGGTAGGATTATTTGGCTGATATGGTTGAATTTTTCATTTTTCTGAACAATAAAACATTTGGTAAACCCCCATTTCAGCCAAATAAGTAATTCAAAAGCCACTTATTTATTCTCTGCCACAAGCATCATAGATTCTTTTGTCTACCAAATGCCCTCTTCATACATTAGAACAATAGGAGTGTTGATTTGTCACCACAACTTCTTTTTCCTTTTGGGATAGGTACACTGCTTTTATCGTACTGTATCCCATTGGAATTGCTCCGGGTGAAAGTAAGTGCTAATTGAGCTTTTAGAAATTTAGACCTGTGTATAAATATGCTAATTATGTTGACAATCCATTTCATTGTTCTAAACGAGTTTACATTATGTTGTGCTGTAGTGTGGCTCATGTACGAAGCACTTCCAGTTATAAAAGAGAAAAAGCTGTATACAGATGGCCTCCCTTTCAGCTATTATAACTTTGTTGTGGTATGCAGTGGCGGAGCCAGAAATCTATGGTTAAGGGGGCTAGACCTTAAAAATTTTACAATCCAGGGGCCAAAATTTAAAATATCAACATATTTTCTATAGGTTAAAAGTATTTATATATAATATATACTTAAGAATTTTTTTCCTTGCAGGGGCCGTGGCCCCCTCCAGCCCCTCCCTGTCTCCACCCCTGGTGGTATGTACATCGTCGCCTTTCCTTATGCCTCATTAAGCTAAGGAAGTTGTTATTTTGTGGTTTTGGCTGTCATAGTCTTGTTTAATTCTGGGAAATAGTAGGGAAAGGATTAAAGCTGTTCAAGGAAAGAATAACACTTTGGGAAATTTCTACCATCATTTTTGTGACACTTTCATATCTCAAAATGACCCCACGGTATACACTTTTCGTAGAATAAGTGTAAAATAACCCTCATTGTAAGTTTTTTTTGGGGAGGGTCATTATGAGAAACATTATACGACTGAAGCTGACTTAAAGTAAATCCCCCCTTTTATGTTTGGTTTTGATCTTTTAAAATGCGAAAGATCAAACAGCCCCTTGTAGGTTATCAAGCATTAGTTAATTAATGAGAGATTTACCTAAATAGGATTAAAATAAGGTAGAATTGCAAAACTAGGACTGCTCTGTTTTATTTCACAAAAATAGGACTAAAAAGAGGTAATTAGACAAAACTACCCTTAATTAAAAGAGCGATGCACACAGTGACGCACAACAACCTCCATCGTTATTGCTCCAGACACGCAGCGATCCTTCCTCCCATGGACGCCAAAATTGAATCTCCATAGCTGCATTAATCACTCACGCTAGAACCTCCATGGCCGCAATCCTCTATTCACGTCGAAAAAGTTCCATAGTCGGGCATCTCTTCTGTAATTTCCCAGGTAATCTCCTCCTCCCCCTCCCCCCCCCTCCTCCTCCTCCCCCCCCCCCCCCCTCCTCCTCCTCCTCCCCCCCCCCCTCCTCCTCCTCCTCCTCCTCTTTTTTTATCTGTTTTTTTATTTTCTTCTAATTTGTGAACTTTTAAGATTCAAGCTTAAATTGGGATATAAAAACATGAAATTAGGAGCAGAGTTTCAACAAATTACTAATCAACTATAACATTCGAATCTGATTTTTTTTTATTAATTTGTTAATTTTGATTATTTGCAAAAATGCCACTTTTATAACATGAGAATATCAAAATTATTGGTTATTTGAAAGAACTGTCATGTTTGTGACAGTATATTTATCAAGATGACAATCTGAAAATGTCATGTGACCATAAGAAAATGCATTTTCAAGGCATTTTATGGCATTCTCGCATATAAAGTGGCACTCCTCATGGAGGTCTGCACAAAGTCACTGGAGGGCAGATCCTTTGTCACTTTTATGTCATTTAAAGGCATTTGCTAAGGTGACAAATTTAAAGAAGAAAATGACATTTCCAGAGTAATAATGTCACTTTCATGGCTTTTTTGAAACAAAAGTGACATTTTCAGATTGTCGTCCTGGTAAATGTAGTGCCACAAAAGTGACATTTATTTTTTCAAATAACCAATAATTTTGACATTCTCATATTATACAAGTGACATTTTACTGAATAAATACCATTCAAATCCAAAAATCCAAATTAATAAATAAAATTCAAATCCAAAAAAAAATATACAGAAAGGAGAAGAAAACAGAGGACCAGAAAATTCAAATCCAAAAGTGATGAAACATCCCTAAACGAAAAAGTTTTTAGGCTTGAGTAGAATACATGATATTAGGGGTGGTGTAGCCTTTTAAAGTGTCATTGTATATTTGTATATGCACAAATTTTCACTAATTATTTAACTTCCTTAGAGAAAGAAGAAGAGAAAGAGGAAGAGGAAGAAGAAGAAGAAGAAGAAAAAGAATAGAGGAGGAGGATACCATGGTCGACAGCGGAGCTGCGGTGCGTGGCCAAGCCGTTGGCAAAGCTGCTGTCCTTGGGAGGAAGGGATGTGGGGAGCTGCAGCGATGAATTCTATCGCACCGACGAATTGCAGAAGAAGGCAGAACCATCGATGAATTACAGCGGAATTGAGAAGCGAGAAGTTGGGTTTTAATTGCAGAAGGGCAAAAGTGTAATCTGGAGTCCCATTTAGGCAATTTAAAACTTCAAGTCCTATTTTGGAGTTTTAACCATGTTTTAGTCTTATTTAGGATAATGTCTTTTAATTAATTTATAAATAAGAATGCAAACCGGAAGAGAATGTTACTGCCGCCGCTAATGTTTGTTGGTTATGTCAGGACTAGGGGTGGGCAAACGGGTCTTGGAACCGCGGTTCGGTCCGGGTAATGGCGGTTCGGGTCCAAAACGGGCCGGTTCCATTTTTTGTTTCCATAAAATGGTCCGGGTAGGGTCGGGTAATTTTTTTTAAGGAACCGGACCGGTTCCAAAATTAAAAAATAACGGGTACCCGGACCGAACCACTTTTACTTTTTCAGAATCACTTTTTTCTCAAACACTACCAACTTTTCCTATTAATCACTTTTACCAAAATCACTTTAAAAAAACACTTTTTTAAAATTGAAGCAATTGCAAACACTCCCTAATATAGTACTCCGGTATGTGCTAAACTGCTGATACAGTAAACACTCATATTGTTAGCGGTGTGCACCGGTATAGTCCCAAGAAGTTTTTGTGCCAATTACAATACAATCGACAGTTAGACACTTTTTTTTTGTGGGCACTACTCTTATCCACCTTTTCTCTTTCTGCAACTGATCATCGTGTAGCTTTGTGAGATTAATAATTTCTATCAACGTATTGGGTTTGAAGAAACAAATGACGTTTGAGATGAAGGTGTTAAGGCCGCCCATATATGCCCTTGCTAAGCTTTTTCTGGCTACCCTTCCACCTTGTTCTGTATGCACTAAAACTCCCTCTGGTACTCCATCGGGGGTCCCTTTTGGTGGATGTGAGAAAGGGGTTCGTCAAAGTTCTCTCCATCGATAGGCCCAAATTGAACCCGGTCCATAGCTCCATTTCAAATGTTTCCCATGGAATCTTGTATGGGTCGATCCCATATGCCTTGGTGATGGCTTGCCACCACCCGTTCGCTTCGTCCGTCAAGTGATAAGAAGCGAAGCTGACTATCTGTTCACACGATAGGCAAAGTGTTGTTTTGCCTTGCTCACTCACTCCGTTGTGTCACCTCCCTGAAATTTTAGAAATTCGAATTTCACATGACAGATATGGAGATGAAAGTAGGAAATGGGTTGTCTGCCTCTCCTCGATGCCCTGAGTGATGTTGATTTTCGAATCCCCGGTCTCTTCTAGGCGCATTTGATTCACTTTCACGATTGTCTGATACCAGCTATCGCTCCCGGTCCAGTGATTCTTTAAGGGTTCGCTGGAACGATTGCTCCATGGCATGGAGCCTGTCAGAACCGGCCCTAGACAAGGGCAGGCCGGGCTTGTGCCCCGGGCCCAACATTTACAGGGGCCCATAATTATAAATAAATGGATAAATATATAGAGGACAATAAATTCATATCAGACCGAGGTCATTTGGGGGGCTTTATGGAAGAATTTTTTTATGAAACTTTTTTAGAGTATTTTTCATCAAGTGTAAATTACATTCACAACATTTTAGTTTAAAAATCAACCGGGAAGTCAGTTAAATAAAATATTGAAACACACTGCGCTTTGTGTATATAAATAATGCGCACTATCTTTCAATAATTTATTTAACTGACTTTCAGGTTGAATTTTAATCTGAAACTTTGTGGAGATATTATAGATTTCATGAAGAATATATTTAAAAATTTTCATGAAATTCTATCGGGAAGGGCCTCAAATGGCCCCGGTCTGACATCATTTCCCGTTAGGGAGGCCTAATTTCAAGGTTTCATCTTTGGACTTTAATTCGTTTTTTTTGCTCAGCAATCAACACTCTCCTAATTTTCTCAAAAATATCTTCCAAATTTGAAATTTCAATTTCACAAGTAATTCTCTGGTTTTATTTTTTATTTTTTAATATAATTTTTATTCGTTTAGTTTATATATTAATTAAGACTTTGATGAAAGACTTACATTACTTTGTATGTTGAAAACTAATCTAGAATTCTCCGGAAAGTTCTAGAAAATTCTATACTTATCTAGAAAACTCTAGAATTTTCTAGAACCTCTCCAACTAAGGAGGGATCCCAACAAATCTCCCCCTCACAACTTAATTGGGGGGTAGTAGCAAACCTGCACCTTGACAGCAATCTTCGAACTTCTTTGTCGGTATTACCTTGGTCATCATGTCTCACCAGTTCTCGTCAGTGTGAACTTTGTCAAGATGCAATTTCTTTTTCTCGAGGACTTCTCGGATCCAGTGATACCTTGTGTCAATGTGCTTTGTGCGGGAATGAAATGTTGAGTTTTTCGCCAAGTAAATTGCGCTTTGATTATCACACTTCAACACGTACCTTTCTTGATCTATTCCCAGCTCGAGCAAAATGTTCTTCATCCACAACATCTCCTTGCAAGCTTCAGTAGCTGCGATGTACTCTGCCTCTGTGGTGGATAATGCAACACACTTTTGCAGCTTTGATTGCCAGGAAACAGCTCCCCCTACAAAAGTAGTTAGGTAACCCGATGTTGATTTCCTTGAATCAATATCACCGGCCAAGTCTGCATCTGTGTATCCTTCTAACACAGGTTTTCCTTTTCCAAAGCATAAGCATCTTTTGGAAGTTCCTCGTAAATATCGGAGGATCCATTTGACCGCTACCCAATGTTCATTCCCAGGGTTGGCCAAGAAGCGGCTGACGACTCCAGCTGCATAGGCGATATCTGGTCTTGTGCATATCATTGCATACATGAGACTGCCTACTACCGATGAGGATGAAATCTTCTTCATTTCCTCCATTTCTTTCTCATTTGTTGGACTTTGCTTTGAATCAAGACTGAAGATATTAGCTCAAAGCCTCGCTACAAAGCTCGGTTGGTGGTCAAAGGATTCGGTCAAGAAAAAGGCATCGACTTTGAGGAAATATTCTCTCCCGTGGTAAAGATGAAGATAGTAGCTCAAAGCATCGACTGTTGTGGTATCAGAGCTTGAACATGTCTCCATCATGAGCGACTTTATCCTCCATCTTGAACTGCACGAGCTAATGACGATCTCAGGTGAACCTGGCTCTGATACCACTGTTGAAAAAAAATACTCCGGACTTTCCCGCTTCGTGAAGTTAAGATAGGCACTTAGGAAATTAGGTAGCGATAGGAGCACACGATTTAAATTCTCCAATATGGAGATTCTTCCACTATACAAAAGAATAGTAGGATTTACAAGGATGTTACAAAATTGTCTCACTCGATGGTGGCTCACTCAAGCTTGAGGATATGAACTTCCCAAGCTATCTCTCTTCTCTCTCAAAGAGACTCTCTAACTTTCTCACTCTAAGAAGTGGATTCTCTCTTGCTAGGATGGTTAGGAATGAATCTCCCTACCCCTATTTATACTACTCCACCTTCACAATGAATGGTGGGGATTGATTCTCTAGAATGCTCCACATACTCTAGGAGTCTCCATACTCTTCCACTCTCTTCCATATCCTTCCATACTCTTCCATAGGCTTCCGGAAGTTTCCACACATCTCTAGAATATTCTAGAGGAATCTACACTGTTCCACAAGCTTCTAGAGAGTTCTAGACTTCTCTAGGATTCTCCGGAACGTTCTAGAAAATTCTATACTTATCTAGAAAGCTCTAGAATTTTCTAGAACCTCTCCAATTAAGGAGGGATCCCAACAGGGAAAACGGCTCACATACCAATTGTTAAAGTCCGTTCTCATACAAGGCAATATTTGGCGGTAGCTTTGACTACCTATTTTTGGTCCTTTTCATTCATACAGTGGGCCTGTTTGTATTTCAGCAGATCAGTGGGCAAAACGCTACATTTAGCAGCGTTTACTGTTGATAGAAAACGGCGTTTTGGTGTAACTCGCTGTTACCCAAACGACACCAGAAATAGGGAGAATTACAACTAATAAATAGTCATATGGAGTAGATTTTTTAAATGGAGTAGATTTAAAAAACTAATAAATAGTCATATTTAAAATACTAATACTAAAAATATATGAATTTATATGTGTGTACTCGCATCAATATACATATCTTAAAAATGATAGTGTTATTAATTATTTAAAATAAACGTAAACATATTTTTTAAAACTTTTTCCAAGACTTATTAAAAATAAAAAGAATTAAAATTTATTTAAATATATAAACTTTTAAATTCATTTTTTAACAGTCATTTTACGTTTGAAAAGCTAATTGCAAATTTTATGTTATTTACATTGTATTTCAAAACGCTAATGAAAGCGGTTAGTTAAAAAAAACTAACGGAATCCGCTAATATCAATCTATTGATTCAACCGGCTATGAGCTAGCAAACAACCACTATTAACAAACACGGTCGTTGACATTTTTAGACCTCCACTTTTGATGACAAAATCAAAGTAAAAAGACTGCAAATGTCAATTTCACAATACTTATAATATGAAATGTCGGGAATTCTAAAGTCGGGGATCAAAAGTTTGTCACTCTACAAAAGTTGACCAATTTATCACTAGAACTTCTTTTTTTTTAACCAATTTGTCTCAAATGGTTTTTTTACCAATCTGTCCAGCAACCCTTTTTTTACCAATCTGGTAATTTGGCCAAATACATAGGGTGCAATAACTAGCTAAGCTTTTCTTTTTATCTCTGTATGTATAAGTGTAAGAATATGTAATTTACTTAACCACACACTGATGTAATGTTTTATTTTTATTATGTGTCATATTCAAATTTTGGGTGTAAAAACATAGGGTGGAATAACTAGTTACGCTTTTCTTTTAATTTATCCCTGTATGTATAAAAGTAAGATTTATGTATTTACTTAACAACACACTAATGTAGTGTTTTATTTTTTTATAAAGGCGTTGATAAAATTGTAATGGTTTTTTTTAAAGGAATAAAATTGTAATGGTTGAACATGAATAATGCACTGAATATCGGATGGTGAATATGTATACTTTTGTTTGGGTAACGAATACGTATAAAATATGAAAAATACACGTTGTTTCATTATATTCCTTGATTCTAAAAATATACAAATCTCATATTCACTCCTTAACTACCCACGAGAAGTCTACCTTGGGGTTAGAACATTGACCAATCGCAAGGATCAAACCTGCAATGGTTGTGTGGAGGTTACAACTCATGTGTGCTGGATTGGACCTCTGGTGCGCACGGGTACAAGATCTG